GTGGATAGAAGTGGAGAGTGGTTTTATATAGGGATGAGAACAAGATGTTACGGAATTCTTTGGATATTTCTGGATGAGGTTACAGAGTGTTCTAGGGGGTTCTATGTAACTTTTAGCCAGGGAGAACTAGAACTTTGTGGAAGGCATTTTCCCCCCTTTCTTTTGCTGTTGACTTGTCAATGCTTCTACTGAAGGAAAGGAAATCTCTCTCCTTTTTAAGGGAAAAAAGAGCGGCAAACATGAAGTGACGAAGATTTCTCTGTTTAATATTTTCGGTGAATATTTCTCCATTTGTTACTTGCTATAATTTATTGGCAAAATACACTTGTATAGCCATAACTTTCACGTTTGTGACAAATATAGCCATAAATATTCGAAAACACGAAATAGCCAAAAAAATTAGGGGTAGTGTGACAAATCTATCCAAATCCGTTAGTAACTTTAACGCCGTCTGTGATTCCGTTAAATCGTTTGACGAAACGCTGACGAGGACGAAATCCGACCTCCACATCAGCTACACTTCAGCAAAATGTACACGTGGAATGCCACGTCAATAAAGCATTAAAAAAAGGTTAATTTCTCCTTCCTCTCTCCCCCTACCACCACCTGTTAGTCGCCGTCCTCCCTCCTTTCTCCTTCTCTGGTTTTGATTCTTCAGAGCAGCGACAAGGGGCTTGCTCTTTTCTTCTTCGTCTGACTCTGTATGCGGTGTGGATTCTCCTCGCCACCTACTGCGCCCTCGACCCATTCAAGCACAACGCAATCTTCGAGTTCCCTGATTTCATCTCCCACCCAATCGAGATGTCGCCGTGGTCGCTGGTTCCCACAGAGAAAGACGAGTAGAACTCGCTGCAGAAGTCGGAAATCAAGTTCCTGGGTCAGATTCAAGGCCCCGAGAGCTTGACCTTCATTGATTTTGCTTACACTTCCAGCAATCGGTCAATCAGACTACAAATTCAAATTGGGGGTTTCCTAAATTCTTGGACACAGGCGACGGGTTACGGCGGGGAGGATTTAGATCCGCCGACTAGAGCTTGAGGAGAATCAGAAGGATGAGAAGGATGATGACGGCAGACCTCCGAAGACCTGATTTGAAGCATAGCAAAGAGGGGGAGTAGCAGAACTCGACGTACGATGCTGGTCTAGCCTCAGATGTCTCCGTCGACGGCGCTGCTGCTGCCCTGGAGAAGAGAAGCGCAGCTGGGATCTGATGGGTCCTGCTCCAACTCCTTCACGAAATCGATTGCGCCTCCTTCTGTCTTTCTTCGTCGACGTCGAGGAACCATCGGCGGCCGGTTTTGCAGCGTTTATGGGCGCTTCTTCAATGTTAGTACTTAGTACCACTCCAGGGAAGAAGAGAAGCGCAGCTGGGAGTTTATGGGTTTACGGGAGAGTGAAATTTTTTATGCTTCCGTCGACTGAAAGGGTTCGGGAAGGTCTGCGAGTGGGAAGGAAAGGGAAGACGGAGGGATTGGGCTTTTATATTTTTTATATTTTACTTTTGATTTTTTGTGTTAAATTTTAATTTTAGTTGTTTTTTGTGTTAATCACGTAAGTTGGTGGGACCATAAATTGCCAACTCGGCATTTTTCGTCTGTCCAGTCATATCATCAACTAACGTCGTTAACAAAATGGACGGAATTGGCTATTTTGTGTTTTCGGATAGTTGTGGCTATATTTGTCACAAACGTAAAACTTATGGCTATACAAGTGTATTTTGCCTAATTTATTTGGGTGCCACTAAAGTTTGAGAATTGGAGTAGACATACCATGAATAGTGCGTCGGGTATCATTGAACTCTATTATATGTGCACCCAGTACCACTTAAGTTTACTGCTAAGTGCATTTCGTTAAAGTTGACAGAATATTCTTAGAATATTTCATTTTCTAAATTTCATAATTGGTCCTTCTACTTTTCTTATTGTAAAAAAATTATTGAGACTTATGAAAAACATTATTTTTTATTGATTAGTTAGAATCCTCTTTTGAATACTTGATACCAAACAGATTTTTGAATAGAAAATTTAGAATTAATTATCATTATAATCATTTTCAATTATCATTATGTGTTATAATAATTGAATTATTCCATGAATGTTGTACATAAACAATTTTGTAGCTTTTATAGTCATATTTTCTTTTTTACATTTTTTACCGAATGTTGTAGCTTTTATATTTTATATATTATTTGGATACTTTCCATCTCTTTTTGTTTTAATTTTTTTAATTATTGGAATATGTTTAATTCTTTCTGAATGTGTTCCATTTATCCTTCTTTGATTTTGATGTATTGAAGATCGATAAGGTTCTATTTTAACTATTTCTAATGGTGATTCTAATTGAATTAGAGAGTTTAAATAGATATTCCAATATTGATTTTAAATATTTATTATTATATTCTGATATATTTATTATTCTTTTTTTGGTAATATTTATTTATTATTTTTTATATTTGTTTATTATTTTTACTAATTTATCTATTTTATTGAAAAATTTTGATTACTCATTCTAGGAATAATATATTTAGAAGGATTTCTAATTATTATATTAGATAAAACTTGTTAAAATATAGTTTTGGATGTTTTAAAAAGTTTTGGGTATCAAAAAGTAATTAAAAGTTTGGGTAGGATGGAAAAGTAGACGGATGCACATTTTGACAACATTAATGGTACTCGACGCCCTATCCAAACTTAAGTGGTATGTCTACCCCAATTCTCAAATTTAAGTGGCACCCGAGGTATTTACCCGCATTTTTTAACGAGTAAATTACAATGTTGGTCACTGGATAAGTAAATAAATTTAGCTTTAATCACTAAAATTATTTATTCCTAGTCTCCAAAAATTAGGGTTGCAAATGAGCCGAATGGAGTCGAGATTTAATTCAGTTTTAGCTCGACTCGTCAATAAACAATATGAAGTGACGAAGATTTCTCCGTTTATTTTTTTTTCTTCCGTGAATATTTCTCTATTTATTATTTGCTATAATTTACTAGTATCTTTTAAACATTAAATTACGAGAAATGATAGGGAGACAAAATCATTTTCAATCAGAATTACCAGTATTTTTTAAAATTGGTCCTCTGTAATTTGTATCTCCTTGAAGTATATTGATAATGGCTCTCTCCTGTCCGTAGACTAGCTAACACACATTATGTTAGTGAACCATATAAATCCGTGTGTCTTATATTTTCTTGATTTGTCGAATCCTCCAATTTCTTGATCTGCAGACAAACAATCGTGACACCAAACGTGAATCGATCAAGAGTCGTGGTTTGAGCAACATGGTTGTACGATTTTGTATCAAGTTATATACAACCACACTATATAATTGCAACGTTGGTCTCCGAGAACACTAAATTAATTATAAGATCATACTAAAAATCAAATCGATGCAACCAATAGTTTATATAGTTTTGTTAAGGTATTAATAGGCCAATCTTGTAACAAAAGCATGATGAAGGATTGTCATATAACCACTTTGCCAATTATTTAAAGTAAGAAAATTCTTAAGCAAGCACACCAAATGGGTCCATAGCTCAGTGGTAGAGCATTTGACTGCAGATCAAGAGGTCACCGGTTCGAACCCGGTTGGGCCCTCTCAATTTTTTTTGTTTTGTGTGTGTAGAAATTGCAGCATGCACTTATTTATGCGTGGTTTGGTATTGCGTGGTTTGGTATCCATCGCAGCCATTTTTTGCTTGTGTTGTTTCACACATGGAATGAAGTACATTTAGCAAATGTTTACCTTGTGGATCTGGCAAGAGCAGTAAGTTGGTAGTCGATTCTTTTGACATCGTCCCACTTATTTATGCGTGGTTTGGCATATGATCAGTACCATACATTGGCATGTTATTGTATCTTAGTGGCTCATACCACATTGCATGCAGAACTATCCCAATGGAACCATCTTGCTTTCCCCTACACAAGACAGCATTAATTACCTCTGTTGATCTACTTTGCAAAAACAGCAAACCCTATTTGCCTACTTGGCATTTGCAAGCAATGGAGTTTAATTAGCAAGTTCTCAAAGCTGAAATCATGCCTCGTCTTACCTGAAAGTACCATTGGCGATAAATCTTTAGCTGCTTTGCCATGGGCCAATATCATGTTTATGCAAAGCAATGAGAGGCATATATGTTATGCCTATTTGACTTATCAATAAGTATTTTGATTATAAGATGTACTCATTCAAAAAAAAAATCATTGGCATGTGTGTAAACGAGGTGTTTTACCTAACTTAGCATAGTCCTTGCGCTTGTGATACAAATTTTATCATGTTGCTAATTTATTGTCAAGATAAATATTGGATGATCTTCAACCTTATTTCTTTGATTTGTTGATCAGTATTGCTTTGGAACTCTTGGCCATAAATCTTAAGCACTGCTTTGCCATGGGCCAATATCATGTTATATATGCCTATCTGGCTTCTCAATAAGTATTTTGATTGAATGATGTACTCCTTGGAAAATTCATCGGCTGGTGTGTAAATGATCTACCTAACTTATCACTTTTGTGTTTGTGATACACATTTTATCATGTGAAAAATTTGTTGTCAGTAAGATGAACTTTTGTGTTTGTGATACACATTTTATCATGTGAAAAATTTGTTGTCAGTAAGATGAATATTAGATGATCTTCTACCTTTATTTATTTATTTATTTGATCGATATTGCTTCATAACCATCTACTACCATAGGTGCGCGTTCCAACTTTGCAAGAACTATGTGGAATTAATTACTTTCGCACTAAACATCAGAAGACCTACATGTTCTAAACATGTAGCTAGCTAGAATTTATTACTTTCGCACTAAACATTAGAAGACTCATACGTTCTAATTATGTTGAGAAATACTTGCGATACAAACAAATTGTACCTAATTGCACGTAAGTTTACACATTTTCTTATATATAATTATATAATTGAATACTGAATCGATTTGAGACAAATTGAATGATTAAAATTATGATTATGAGGTTGAGTGCAACATAAACACCCACAATTATTTGTGTGTCGCTTTCAACACAATATCGATTATTATATGAAAATTATGTAAAAAACACTTGTATTCTTACACATATAACAAATTTTTCTTACAACCAACGCATACAAAATACATTATTTTTCTAACATGTATTCCGTTTTTCTTAGATTCAGCATGTACGTTCTTAAATACATGGTTTCTTAAGATCGTTAACAAACCATCAGTAAATCACCGATTCAGTAAAGATCCGCCGGCAGCCGGGGCGACACGTGGACCTCGAGCGGCGTCGCCTTGGCGTTGGTCAGCCCAAAGCTCTCCGTCATATCCACGTCCGCACCATCCTTACTCGAGACATCGAACGCGTGCAGCACACTCGCCAGGATCTGGTGGATCATCTGGAGCCCGAAGTTCACGCCCGGACACCCTCTCCTCCCGCTGCCGAACGGCATGAGGTGGAAGTCGCTCCCCCGCACGTCCACGTCACGGTGGGCCGCCGTCAGGAACCTCTCGGGCCGGAACTCCATCGGGTCGGGCGCCCACACCTCGGGATCCGTGTGGATCTTCCACAGGTTCACTATCAGCCACGTGCCCTCCGGGGCCGGGTACCCGCCCACGTGGCAGTCGCGCGTGAACTGGCGGGGAGACGAGAGCGGCGTGGCCGGGTAGAGCCGCAGTGTCTCTTTGACGATGGCTTTGAGGTAGACGAGGTTGTTGAGCTCGTCGTCGGTGGGTGAGATCCTGTCCTTGGAAACGACGTCGTCGAGTTCTTTCTGTGCGCGGAGCAGGACGTGGCGGTTGTTGAGCAGGAGGGAGATGGCCCACGTTACGGTCACCGTGGCGGTGTCGGTACCGGCGGCGATCATAGCCTGTTATTTTAATTTAGTGCGTCATTAACCGGTAATAATGTATCAAAATAATACCGATCAAAATTAGAGAAAGTCCGATAGATTAGTATATCATCTTATCATGTTGAATTGATGGGTACAATTTTTTTTTATATATATATGCATACATCATATCAGTTTAACTGATAGTACGGTATTTTGTTACAAGCCATGAAGACTTTTAGAGAACCAATTATATTAATTACAGATGAGACCATACTAGCTAGGTGAATAACCTAATCTGCATAACGTCATTTACTATCTTTCATTTCAAATAAATTTCAGTCGGTAAAAGAATGTCAATAATTCACTAGCACATTCATTTTAATTTTTAACCAATTATATTTCATGAGTTTTTAAATTTGATATTCATTTTGAAACGTCTTACTATCGACATGGAAAGCTAAAGGAGACAATTGGAGGGATTGACGCAACCTTTTTGGCTTTGTCTTAATTATGAGGTTGTCACAACCTTGTCCTATTACAATAGTCAAATTAATTGTGTCAAAGTCCAAACTATAGTATCAATTTTTATGGATTATTTAAAATTTTCGTCTACCTAATTTTGATGTCATGTAGGTTAATTAATAGAGTTACTCAACCGACAACTGATCTCTCTGCACCCTTTCAAATATATTATTTTCATACACAAATTCTAAATTCAAATTAAAAACCCCATATATTGCAATTCCTACTGTAGCTAGATGTAGTCTAAATTAAATTACAATATCATGTCCGCTTTCGAGATTAATAAACATGTGGTTGATAGCCTACTCGAACCATAATTGATCGTGAATTACTCTTGTAATAACCTCAAATGCTCTAACCAATTTTTGTTTCAAACAAACAAATTTAATGCTTTTAAATATACTAGATAAATTTTTGAAAATAACATAATAGTAATTTATTGAAAAACCTAGATTCAATCTTTGATGAGTTAGTAATCAGCATTATTTAATGACATTTACCAGGGGGGGAAATCCGAAAATCACATCTGGTTTCTCACAGAGGAAAAAAAAACTAAATAGTTAGAAACGTTTACCAAGACTGTGGATTTGATGACGGCGTCGGAATCATACCCACCAACCTCATCCGCTCCGTCGAGAAGAGAAAGCAAAACATCCATGAAATCTCGCTGATCAGTACCGCCACTCCCATCGGCGCCGCCGCTTGCCGCCGCCCTCTTTCGCTTGTGCTCGTCCAGCAAATCCTGAAGTATCCCGTCCATATCCGCCGCGATCCTCTTCATCACCTTCTCATAACCGCCGATGTCAGCCCACCCAAGCGACGGGAAAACATCCCTCACCACAAACATCGCCAGATACTCATAAAGCTCCCTCACCGCCTTCTGCATCCGCCGCGCGGTGGCTATTCCTTCCTCCCCGCCGTCCATCGCGCCCGACCCGAAGTACCTGTAAAGAAATGATTTAAGTACTATATTTACACGGACCTCTTTCAACCCCTCCCTCGAGTTGTTAGAACCGGTTGATTTATGAAATAATATTAGAGCTGGTTTATTCATGAAATTAGATGTTCAAATTCTCATGACCGCAAAACATTTAACTAGTGTTGATGAAAACAACCCTTTTTCAAGCTCTCAAAGAGTCTCTTCTGACGGGAAAAAAAGGGTATGAAAGGGAGAGAAAAGCAGATTGAGAACTACGTTATTGAATTTCCTGATATAGTTCCTGCTGAGGTTGCAAAACATCACATACGAATATTTAAAAAAATGGATATTGACGCAGATAAAGCTCAAAAAGTGATTGAAACTTTAGTGCTACAAGAGACGGAAGCCCATCAGTAACTGATGGATAAGATTAAGCAGTCATTAGAAGCGAATAAAAGTAATCTACAAAAAAAATTAGGTGCGGTTAATGCACATAGCATATATTGCACGCCATTTCTACCAAGAAAACATATTAGACAGTGATGTACAATCCCTTAGCTTGTATTTTACATGGAGTTTTGAATAGACTTTTAAATTGTTCTACCGCTATGTCCAGATGAACAGAGAGTAGTTTTCGACAGGTGATCTCACAACTCCCCAATATTAATCATTATTTTATACATATATGATAGGAAACATTTCGAGTTATTAGTACCCGTTGGTTTATGATAATACCTCTTCCCGGCAACCATCCGGAGAACGACGTTGAGGCTCAGGTCGGAAACCCACTGATTCAAATCCACCAACGACGACGACGTCGTTTTCCCATGCAGCTCCTTCATCGACGTGGCGAGCTCGGAGGCGCGCACGTGGCCGAGCAGCTCGAGGCGGCGGACGGAGAGGAGCTCGAGGACGGTGATCTTTCTCATCTCCCGCCAGTAGGGCCCGTAGGGGGTGAAGGCGAACATGGCGAAGTCGTAGCCGAGGAGCTTCGACGCGGTGAGCGGCGGCCGGGAGGAGACGGCGGCGTCGTTGGTGGTGAATATCTCCTTGGCGAGCTCCCAGCTGCTGATTACGAGGGCTTGGCGGCGGCCGAGGCGGAGGGTGAAGATGGGGCCGTGTTTGTCGGCGAGGGAGCCCAGCGCGTGGTGGGGGAGCTGCCGGCCGGAGAGGACGGGGAGGTGGCCGATCACCGGCCATGCGCCGGAGGCCACCGGAGCTGATGATGTCAGCCGTTGTTTCCGGGGCTTCTGGATCCAGTATGAGATGGAAACGAAGAAGAGTAGAGCTAATGCAGTTGAGAGAATTAGGTCGCCAAACTGACTGAGCCAATTATCCATTGAAGGAGATTGAATTTTGTTATGATTTGATTGTGAATATTACCATGTGTGTATACATATATATATATATATAAATGATTCTATCTTACCCGGCAAAATCTGGTGTATGCCGTACCGCAGATAATCTTCTTTATCTGACAACATAAATAAGATAATTTATTTTTTAATCTAAAAAGAAATTCATAGTATACGACATACCCAATATAAATGTTTGGTGTACGATAGAAGTCACCATATATAAATAATCATGTCAATATTGTAGACCAAGTGATTAACGTGTTATATGTATATTCTTAAGTATGAGTTTACTATTGATCTACTGTTAAGTATGAAGATGTTGAAAGGAAGATGTTGAAAGGTGATAATATCCAATTTTGTAGCTAAGACTAATTACAGTCAATATGTATATTTTGTTTTGTTTATTTTTTTTATTTTAAAAGATTGATCACAATTAATGCAAACTCATAAAGAGGGATACGTTTATTATCATTAAAAATTAAGATGCACGGTACGAGTGTTAGCAGTCTAGCTTTCGATCCCGTGTTGAAATCAATGAAGTTAATTAAATTGTAAAAATTATTATAATAATTAACTAATAAAATAATAATTAACTAATAAAAATTATTATAAAAAAAAAAATTGGGCTGCTCCAAGTAATGTGATTGTGATGTAAACACTAAACAAAATCACCGGCCACAAACTAAACACCAAGCACAACAAAGAAACTGAGAGCATACACTTGTCCGGTCCCATTATGCAGCAGATCTCTCCACAAATCTCAAAACCATTTGCTTCATTCATAAAACAAATCCCAAACTTAGCGATTCTTACAAACAAGTCCAGAGATCCAACAAAAGAATAGGCCAAAACAAGCGCGAATCAACGATGTATAAATTAAAAATCAAAGTTAAAAGAAAGAGCTAGATGTAAGGTGAGTGTTGAGATTCTGTCTTGTACTTAGCTTGTCTAAACGTGCATAAACGTTGGATGTAAACGTATCAAAATATCTCATACTTAACTTGAATTACAAGTTTATACACTAATATCATCGTGGTTATCTCTCATTTCTAAACCCTCGGCAACAACACATGTAAAAGTATAAAACATAACATGGAGAAGTGAAAAATGGAGAAGAAGCCGGAAAACAAAGAAGCAAATTAGGAGACAAGAAGCGTTAAAAAAAAGAAAGAAGAAGCTACTCTAAAGATAGTCGTCTCTAACTCTAGCCTAGCGGCTAGGAACCCTCGCGGGATGATGCTCCAGCCACTCAACCAATCACGATCATTACCGGCGAGAAGTACATTTCTGAGCTGGTGTGATGTGATCCACCCTCATATTCAAGAACATAAGATCTCCTTACCAATGTAGTCAAAATCGCATTTTTAAAGTTTAAAAGCTTATGCTTTTACGCTTTTAAGGCATCAAAAGTACTTCAAAATGCTTCTGTAAAGAATGATGCTTGTCACTTTTAAGTGTAGTCAAAATCACACTTCAAAAGTTTAAAGCGTATGGTTTTACACTTCTATATCGCCAAAACGTTTCTACATAAAATCATGATTTTTTATTGCTTTGCTCTCCTTGCTACATAAACTTAAATCAACATTACATTTCAGTCCTTCTACAATCTAAACTATCCTTATCTTGAAGGTCGTCCATGATATAAACTCATGGTAGCTCTTCTATCTAATAATTTGAGGTGGAGCCATTAATGTGTGGATGGAGCTCAGCTAGCTCTATATCTTGGATAGTGATTTCATTTATATGGATGAAGGTGTCCTCAGCCTTAACACAATCGTATCAAGAAGACAAGAACAGTAGTGATGGCCGATGGGTGGTGGAGACGGCAGAATTAGCTGGTGGAGTAAAAGTCGTCAGTCCTCACCCATCTTATCCTCCACCGAAAAAGAAAAGGACTGAGACGTCCCTAGGTCGGTTGATTACTTGGACCAATATCCAACGGTTAATAACTCGTTTTTAATAATTATTAATAATCTAATCAATCGTTCTTGAAAATTTTATACCTTTTCAATTAATTCGAACGGCTTATATTTGTCTTATATTAAATCGCAATTCAAATTTCTTAAATAAAAAATTAAATTAACTTTGTTAATGACATTCGCTTTGACATATTTTTTAACAAAAAAAAAAGGGTTAATTGCATGGTTGGTCACTGAAATTACAAAAAACGTTCATGTTTGGTCACTAAAAATATTTAAATCCAATCTTGGTCACTCAAATTAGTTAAATGGTTCAAGTTTGGTCACTCTCCGTCCAAGTCCGTTAACTTTTGCTTATGTGGCAGTTAACTTTTAGGGTGTGCCTATGGTGACATGCATGTCATGGTGACTTGCACTTTCCGGTCGACCTCAGTTAGAATTAGGTCGACCTCATATAGGATCCGGTTGACCTCATTTATGATCCGGTCGACCTCATTTTGGATTCGGTCGACCTCATATAGGATCCGGTCGACCTAATCTGTTGTTTCAGTGTAAAAACAGTTCATGGTGCCTACTTTGGATATTCATATCATACAATTGGCTAGATGGAAATTGAAGACTAATGACTTGTTTTGAAGCTGGAGTGTCCCTCTACATATTGAAGTGATTGAGAGCTCGATAGGAAGTCCAGAAGACCATTTTTGAACCTCATCAAAAGGCTATGCCAAAACTGGGAAACTACCTAGAAATGGCTAAGTCTGGAAACGTGTTTGTGAAGCCTATTTTTGAGCTCAATTCGAGAAGCATGAATGCGAGTCGAGTCCAGGAGCCTCTACCACGTTAAATTAGGTATGTTTTTATACAAATTGAAGGAATTGGATGAAAGGTTGGATATCTTTAAGGCTTCAAACAAAAGGCTCGAAGTTTCTACGAAGGCTGTTTTTCTGGCAGACTTCGAGCACAAGCAAGCTGTCAGAAAAACAGCCTTCGTAGCAACTTCGAGCCTTTTGTTTGAAGCCTTAAAGATATTCAATCTTTCATCCAATGCCTTTTATTTGTATAAAAAAATACGTAATTTAACGTGGTAGAGACCCTTGGACTTGACTCGCATCCATGCTTCTCAAATTGAGCTCCAAAGTAGGCTTGACAAACACGTTGCCAGACTTAGCCATTTTCAGGCAGTTTCCCAGTTTTGGCCTAACCTTTTGGTCAGGTTCAAAAATGGTCTTTTGGACTTTCTATTGAGCTCCCAAGTACTTTAATGTGTAGAGGGACACTTCAGCTTCAAAACAAGCCTTTAATCTCCAATTTCCATCTAGCCAATTGTAAGATATGAATCTTCAAAGTAGGCACCATGAAACTGTTTTTACACTGAAACAACTGATTAGGTCGACCGGATCCTATATGAGGTCGACCGAAAAGTGCATGTCACCGTGACATGCATGTCACCGTAGCAAAGTCCTAACTTTTATAGTTGACTGTTAAATGTGTGACATGTCAATTAAAAAATAATAAAATAAATCTAATATAATTTTTATATTTTCCACCTCTTCTAACTGAAACAGGGGTGGCAATGCTCGTCAGGTTCGCCTTATCGCCTCCTCACGAGCACGACCAAGGTTTCGCTAATCGAAGAACTCGCGAGCGACTGTCAAGGTTTCGCTCAGCGCTGCCGCGGAGATGCCGTGGTTGATGATTAGAAAGATGTCGGAGCCGGTGCGCGCTCGTTAGATTCACCTTATCGCCTCCTCCTCCTTTTTTGCATCGTCGGCGCCGGGAGTAGTAGTGAAGAAGGAGCCACAAAAGCGCCATCGAAATTATTCTAATCAATCCTAGCGCTGATTTGATTTTCTTAGATCTGCTCGATAGGTTGAATCAGCCCCGCGGGAAAGGCATGGCTGCGATCTCTATTCCTGGTCTTGTAAATGGTAAGACTACAATTCCGATTTCGAAATGCATTTTTGATTCAGTTGGGTATTTTTTTTTTTTGGTTTGGTTTATTAATCCCACACTTTTGGCACCAGGAGCAACAAAAGCGGCTTCGTCTGGCACGATTAGGGGGAGAGCGATTTCATCTACCCGGCCCCCGGCAGCAAGTACGTCCTCAAAGGCTCAGAGCTTCTCGAACCGGCACCGGCGCCGTTGGTCGAGTCCACGCCTTTAGATATGTAAAAGTACCAGCCGAGATTCAGAGTCACAGTCGCCCTCGTCCTCGTCTCTGCCGTCGAGCGATGACCTGGATCCTCGCCCGACGATCGCGCGGCAGAGGAACCAGTCCCGGAGCTCCATCGATCTCAGCGGAGGAGGCCGGTGATGCTAGCTGAGTAGGAAAAGGAGGAGGAAACTGACGTCGACGGAACAAGGAAGGACCGCCGGGAGGTTGGAGGAGGGAGCAGAGAGGAGATCGAGATCGAGATCTCGCCTCCGCCGTCGGATTCCAGCCTGGAGATGCTGGTGAAAGCGTATATGAAGCTGATACTACTTGCGGGAGGAGGAGCGGCGGTTGATACTACTGGGTGTTTGGGTAGGGGCAACGCCGAAATCGGTGCTGGAGCTGATGAACGGGAACGGTGGTGGAATAAGGTTGGGGGAAGATGTTTGTCGGAGGGGATAACAATTAGGGTTTTTTTAATAGTAGTAAATGTAGGTGGAAATTAGAAAAAGATTAAATTTTAATTTTTTAAAATTTAATAATTGCCATGTCACACATTTAACGGTCAACTATAAAAGTTGACTGCCACATAAGCAAAAGTTAACGGACTTGGACGGAGAGTGACCAAACTTGAACAATTTAACTAATTTAAGTGACCAAGATTGGATTTAAAAATTTCTAGTGACCTAACATGAACATTTTTTGTAATCTCAGTGACCAACCATACAATTAACCCAAAAAAAAAATTTGGCATGTATATTACTGGTATATACCGTGATAATAATGCTTGTTAGTACATAATACGATACCATGGTGGTATGATGTATCAAAGTGTAGAATGGCTGTATACGTGATAGTATGAATATACTAATCATCATTTATCATCTTTAATCAACGTATACCATCAATTATAAGATGGTACAATAAATTACGATGAACTCGTTTCCTATATGTAAACTTTTTGAAATTTTGAGTTAAAAAAACAAATGTTGTACCAAAGCGGTAATTTGTGATGATGGGCGGTACGAAATTTTTGTCTCGAAATGTATTGAAAATATTCATAATTTTTTGGATCCCAATAAACGCATTTCTTCTCTACACATTTTTTTGAAATCTAGATTAAAATAATAAAAATACAATCCGATTAAAAATTATGAACAAATAAAAAAAAATCACATCCGTGGACTTCTGTTTATATAGGCCGATGTTAATTGTTTCTAGAAGCTAATTAATTTTTTTTTTCATTATGAGGTCCATTTATTTGTGTATGTATATTTCTTAATGACACTTCCAACTTCAAACTTCTAATCTTTTCCAAACCAAGGAGTACCGTATGTATTAAATTGAATTTAATAATATCTTTTGCGTGAGTTAAAGCAACTACTCCATCGGCCTTCCCTTTGGTTATATCAATTTAACTAGGGCTACCGCGCGACGACTTTTTTCCTTCTTAATTTATAGTTATTAGCTAACAATCGTTTAATCCTTTGAACTACATAATCTCTGTTGTCATTTTTATATTATAAAATATAGGGTCTCTATTATTGAGAAGAAGTTAGGGTTACCGTAATAAAAAAGCAATTAAGACTTTGAGTATTGAAATAAAACCAACGTTGAAAAATCTAGAAATGCGTCATTGACATTACACGAGCAACGGGGGGAAATTGTAGAAAAATGCGCCATGGACATCGTTGCTTTAAAAAAAAAAAGGACCTCATTGAGTCATTGTCACCATAGCGTTAATTAGGAGATCATATTATTTTTATTTTATGGATAAATCATCTAGATGCTCTTATTAACGAATCATATCAGGAGGAAAATAAGTTTGTAACACTAATTTTAAGAAGTTGTTTCATTGAATTCATCCGGATGAAATTTGCAATTGTGTGCAACTATAAAGCGACGTCTTTTTCTCTCTAAACATGCGAAGAAATCTAAAAGTGTCGAAATGATGCAAACTCAATTATACGGAGGTGAAAATTATTTGATCCACCCACATTTTTAAAACAATGTTTTACAAACTAATCCGTACCTCTTTGTAGCTACATCCTACATAATATGTAGCAGCGAAGCGAAAAATCTAAATGAGAGAAACTGATCTGAATGGTGATAATTGGAGAAAGGAGGTTTAGGAACTCACCGACTATACTCTATTTTATAAATTTGATACTAATTGTACATATAATTTTACCGACATTTCAAATTTGAGAAAGAGCTACTATATTCCCTCCTACTTCCAAGTTTAGACTTAACTCCATTGATAATACGTGCAATCGCATACAATTGAGACAAATTACATCGAGATTTACAAATGTGCATATATATCGAGTCAAACTCATGGTTAGAAGTTAATTCAACACAATTATATATAATAAAACAACTATCTAATAGAAGTCCAAGGTTAATTATTTCCCTGTGAATCACATTTGCCGGACTAACTAGCAGTTTCCCGGCCGGCTAGTCATGGCAACCGCTCCTCCCAATCCGGCTTCCGGATCACCTCCGGCGGAATTCGGCCGCTCATCGTCACTCCCTTCCAATTGCCGTTTCAGCTTCATCTCCTTCGCCTTCCCCAACAAAAACGAGTAAAGCCCCACCAGTATTATCACCATCCCCAGCAACCTGAAACGGCGTTGTTCCAAAACCAAAAAATACCAATGAATTAGCAATTAATAAAAAAAACAAAAACAAAATGGCGTCGTTTATAGTTAGCAACTCACGCTCCGACGCTGAGCTGCTCGCCGAGCAGCAACGCGCTCAAGATCGGCACGAAGACCAAGGTCAGCGGGTTGAACATGGGCGGGAAGGTGGGCCCGCGCTTCGCCACGGCCCACGAGATGAGCCAGAACGTCGCCGCGGAGGCCATCGCGCCGGAGTAGAGGATCGTCACGAGCTGGAGGTTCCAACCCAGCTGCCACGCGCGGGGGCTCCGGTCCACGCACGCGCCCACCCCAAGGGACTGAACCGCCGAGAGGAAACACGTCAGCATGGTGGCCCAGCACTTGTACGGAAACAGCTCCCGCACCTTGACCTGGACGATGTACCACGTGGCGTACGACACGCAGCTCCCCGTCAGCATGAGGGTCCCACCCACCCAGCTGCTGCTTCCGCTTCCGGGGTTGTGATGATCATTAGCGACGGATTCGGTGTTGTAACCCGCGTGATTAGCGGCGCTAATTGCATCGGAAAGGCGGTGGTTATGGGGGAAGAGGTGGAACGTTTTGCCTTTGTATAGGCAGGCGGTGAGCGCGCCGGCGACGCATAGGATGGCGCCGATGGTCTTGATCTTGCCGGCTGAGGTGTTTAGCCCGAGCGTTTCGATTCTGAATTGACGTTAAATCATTTGGCAAAGTTAACTAATGGGAAAGAGAGACGTAGTTATTGAGGTTTAATTAACGCATATGAATATATACTGACCGAAGGATAATGGAGAGGGCGAAGGTGACGATCGGAATCAAGTTGAGGAAGTTGACGGCGTAAGTGGCCGTGGTGTCCCGCAGGCCGTAATAGTATAAGCTCAAAGCCAACGTTAATCTGCCGTAAAAAAAAAAGGTGATATTTATCAAAGTTAATTTACTGACTAATGTATAGGGGCGAACTTTTAAATCGAACACGAACAATTAAGTTGCTTATAGGGTATGTTGTGTGCACATATAAGCCCGTTGCTTACACCGATGATACGAAATTATATTTCACATTGATTTAACTACTAAAAATAGTGAATTTTGCGAGTAAAAAAAAAAGAAAGCTCATTCATGTAGGCAACAAGTATAAACTACGCTCAATCAAAGATTTGACTACGTACATACCCTTCTAAATGAGTATATGAACCCGTGCTTATCCTTATATGCATTGAAGAATATCATATGTCATGCAAGAGATACGAGAAGAAAAACAAATATTTATGACGCGTGTACACACATACATCAGTTTGTTTCACAATCGAACAGGTGAAAACGTGTAAAACTGAGACCCGAATTGACTAGGGTTCAAATAAAGGTAGGTAGGAGGTGGAACTATCAACTACATGTATATTTTAGGTAACTAAACATGTGAAAAGTCCGATTAGGGGCTACGGATTGGATGTGTAACAAACTCCAAAGTACCGCACTAACAAACGATCTCTTCCAGATCGATCACCACAGCTCTCAAATTCCAACAGCAAGCTAGCTAGGATGGGAATAGTTCACCAACAAAACTTATCCACAGTTGTATTCCGATCCCTAGTACTGTTTCTGTTGGTCTTGTGTTGTCTTTTTTTATGTCCTATAAGTAACTGTTTGTGGCATGCAGTTTTCTATCAATCTTCTCCCAAAAGCAGGAGACAAGATATGCCCAACTAGAAATCTACGCACCAAACAACACCTAAGTGTATGTTCATCGTCTCTGTGAGTTACGCACTTAAACCAAATCATTAAGCTTTCTGTCTCTACTAATCAGTAGTAATGGAACTCTCCCCCACTACGTAACAGAATGTAGCTAGCTTGGGAATAAGTCGCACATGGGTATTATTAGTTCAGTATTGAAATTTACACATGCACCATCGGCCACACAAAAAAAAAAGGGAAAATTTACTAGAAAATCTCCCATACTTGATCGTCTTTTGATTTAGGGATTTAGCTGACTATTAGTTGCGCTAATTTTGTAGCTAGCCAATTAGACGTCTAAAAATCTAGCGATGATCAAACTCCACCAAACCGTACGTACCCGGTGATGGCGTTGATGAATAGCCAGAACCAGACCGGCCAGCACCGCAACTTGCTCTTGATTTCCGGCGACCTAAACATGCCAAACACACGCAACACATTCCGTTATTTGAAGTACAACCGGCGACAGACGACGTATATAAAGAGACGGCGGATTATCAACATCATAAGAGTTTATTACCTTTCTAGGAAGAAGGCGAACGGGGCCACACAGAGAGCAGCGACCACGTGGCGGTACGTTAGGAGTGCAAAGACGAAAGTGCCGCCGTTGAGGATCACCTTGGACAGCAGCAACATCCCCGACGCGATCGTCTGCACCAACAACATGCCTCCGATCACTTGGCACGACACCCAACGCTGGCTTCCCCGCGCTGCGCTCACACTCCCTACTGTAATCGTCGTCGTCGTCATTGTATCCACGTACGTACGTACGTACTTTGATCAAGAGAATTTTTGCATGCGGGAGAAATTAAGAATCGGAAATGAAAGAGGGCGGAGACGAGTGTCGAGAGGGAGAGAATTTATGCACAGCGTTGAGGGTGGTAATAGATTAGAAGTTTCGAGCCGGAAAGCAAAAGAAAGTATGTGTTTTAGATGATATTTGGGGTAAAGAAAACATTCGACTTTAAGGAGAACTGTGGTCTCACCGTCTCAAGCTCGGCAAAAAACATACACATGTCGATCGTCAGAGGTTTTTTTTTTGTTGTTTGTTGGGTTTGCCGGCACCCTTTTCCCATCTCTCTCTTTTCTCGGCTGGTGTTACGTACGTGGGTTTTCTTTGGGTGTGTTCCAAGTTCTCCGGCCACCAGAATTTTACCTGTCTGTTACCGTAGCAGGATTCCATCTCCTCTTCTTGATCAAATCAAGTTAACCATTGAATTCGCTTTTCTTAGGTGTTACACCGCCACCACGCCATTGTTCTTTAGAGCTTAACCGGGAAGGAAATAAAGTAGGGGTGGCTATACGGTCCGGTTCGGTTAAATTGGACCAAATTGATCTGGTTCCAGTCCAGTCTTTTCAGGGATATAAGGACCAAATATTGGCTTGGATATATTCCAGTCTTGATTTGGTCCGATCCCAATTTGATCTTGATTTTAGGTGTTGGGGGTCTCTTATCCGGTCTTTATTCGGGTTTTTACTTCAAATCTAAACCCGAATATGAGATTAGATTGTTTGTTATCCGGTCCCAATCTAATTCCGGTCCGAGTTACACGGTCCGGTTTCGGGTAAAACCAAACAGTCCGAACCAAATAGCCCGTTCTAGAAAAAAGATGACACAGCCACATGCTAGTTATTGCATCGTAACAAACTCGCCTTATTTACCTTGCCCTGTTGGGCACAATTTCATTAACAAGATACGGCCCTGAAGTTGCACGATACTCCAACTATGTACATTGGGTTTCCCCACAAACCACTAGCTCCCAAAAACGACTTTCTGATGTACTGGCTTTGAGGCTGATGTGTGTGATACTGGAACTGGTGCAGAATCATAATTTCATCCCCACACGTTGATGCTGCTGCCTTTTTCAGCCAGTGCCCATTACGCGATCTAGTGCGGAGGAGGAGTATATGCTTTCTTCGCTGATCAGTTGTGGATGGAACAAAGGAATCAAAGCTGCACAAACAATAATGGCACTTTGCAGCAAAGGGAAATTTCTGTTCTTTGCAAGAATGTGGGGAATTCACCACTATTTACCAGCAGAACCCAACCTCTGGTTCGTATTGCGAACGAAGGGAAAATCGTTGCTTGGAGCGAAATTCAAGAGAATATAGGCTTTGGCACATATCCCGTTGTAACAGTCCTAGCCAGCACTAGGCCTGCTGTCAAAGCCGCCCCGAGCAAGGCATGGAGTCTCACACAGTAATATTTTGCCATAAAAATTCTCCCCTTGTCCTGTAAGAGATTACCATTTCAAGATGAGTGCATATAGTGATAATAATAGTAACAGATGCAGCAGCTGCAGGTTAAGAACATGGATATAAGTAAGTTGAGAGCTCTCACATTGTGGTTTTCTTCGACAAATCTGACTACCTTAATCCCCATTGGCAAGGTCAGGGCAGAGAGAAGCTGGAAAAAGATGCCACATTGACAGTTAACAATGGCATGTGGATTCAGGAACCGGACTAGAGATGGAAGACTGCCTTTACAAAGGACCCTAGTTCAGTAGGAGTCTTAAAAGTTTGAACTTTTATGAGGAACTTACAATGCAAGTCACAGGAAGAGCTCCACTTATGCCAAAAGCAACCAAGAGAGAGTACAGAGTCACAATGGCTACTTTAACTAGTATTGCACCTCTTTTGGTGCCAAGTCTAACCTGCATGTTCCATGTGAAAATTGGGAAAATGATAAAACCATGAAAATAGTACACGGTGATTGAAGCGAAAAGATTAAAGAAAGAGCTTGGCAAAACAGACCAAGGGTGATATTTTGCCAACAGCTTTATCTTCTTCGACCTGGATTGGGGGAACTTCATGTCAAAAAGATTATCCATAATTAGCAGCAAAAGAGAAGCAGTGAAAATGGAGACCAAACCTGGTGAAAGTGACTACAAAAAAGGATTAGAGTTGTCGTGAATCCAATGAGAAGTGATACTGAGAGAACTGTTGCAGTTAACTGAAAATAGTGCGGCCCACTGTCAAAGGAGTCGAAAAACTAAAATTAAAGTTAACAATGGACGAAGCATGATAAGAATCAAAGAAAAATTTCAATATTGAAAAGTGTACTGACCTTGTCATTCGAAGCAATAAGTAAAACGCAGTGCTGGCAAATGGGCCAAATGCTGCAAAGCACAAGGGCTCACCCAGTCCTTGGTAACTTAACCGGAAAGGAGGGCACTGCAGGGTATATAATACATGGTCAACACAGATGAAACATAAGTTAGACCTTGTTAAACATGTATCAACTCAAACCATACAAACTAGACATTTCAGCAGCATAAAAGTTTTTTAAACAGAATTTCAGGATCCCATACCAGACCTGTTAAAATGATGTACCTGATATATGTAGCCACAGATAATTGCCCAAGTCAATAACAAGTTTGCACGTATACTTCCTGAGCTCACAGATGTCCATGTAACCCCCACGAAACCGACAATGAGGCAATTGTAAGCTGCAATGAAGGCTCCTGAACGGCTTTTCCAGGTGCATCAGAAGTAAATCGGCAGTATAAAAAAAAAATTGCATGCTAATAATCCTAAAAAAACAGAAGGCAAACTCACCTTCCAAGCAAGTTAACAACTGATTCTTTCTTGTTCTTGTCTGCTCCTGTATCAAAATCATATACATCGTTGCTGGCAATCAACCAGATATCAGGAATTTTAAGAAGTCAGATAGACGACGGAGGACAGCTTTTCAGTGCTTTGGTAAGTGTAAGATCACATAATAAGAGAGATACATGGACAAAGCTGCCCTTTGAGTCAAATCAGAACTGAGAATACAACTGTATGCTCCCATTCTCATTATCTATAGTCATCTAGTATTGGCTACTGCGCATGACCAACTGTGTTTCATGAACACATGTCGTCCACATTCAAAGGTAATCATTATCATTTATCGCTAACTAAGACTGGACCTTTTTCAGCAGCTATGGAAAGAATTTGAGAGAATAATACAAAGTCACTATGAATATTTACATGTTAGAGCTAGCCAGTAAGAATCTTCATACAAGATAGCAGTAGATAAGGTAATACAACTAGACAGCTCCAAAATCTTAAATTGCAGAACTAACCTTAAATTGAGCCACGTTATAATAAGGACTGAAGAAATCAAGAGAGTGAAATAGCGTTTCGCAGAAAACACGCCCGTCTGCAAATAAGCAGCAGCAGCACCAACCTGATTCCAGAACATAGAAGCTTTAAGTGATACAAGATGAGTGTTTATCCATCCATCTAGAGAATGAAACTGAAAAGGCTTACATGCAATTCACACTGCACTGATGTTAAGGCACAGAACTCACCGTGAGAGGAACTAAAGCAACAGAATAAATGGGTAATTTGATTGCCCTCCATATCAATGCTCCTCTAGACACATCATCTTTCCTATTAACACTTCCGCCTGATGTGCTCTCATTTAAAGCTTGTTGACAAAATCTTTGGCTTCTGATCTTGTACTGCTTCTCATGAATTCCAGACATTATCCCTCCTTTACCATGAAAATCTGACGAGATTCTGGAAGCATTTGAAACTGGAACATCCATACATGCTCTGAGAAAAGATGAACAAATCATCAAACTCAACTTATAAAAAAAACCCACAAGAAACAGAGTCAACATTCGCATTGCCAGAACCCAATTGCAAGCATTGCCCAACATCCAGCACATTCCATCAAGAAATACCCAAATTTCAGGTTCCAAGCAAAGTGGAGATGCTACTTTGATTAGCTCGAACAACTTTTAAGGATTCAAGATAATCTTCGCTGGAAAAGGCATCCATAGTTGTAGTCACTAGAAACAAAGAAATCAACAGACTAAACGATTCAATTCGCGAACTTTATTCTACCCAAAGGATTACTGGAGAGGAAGCATACGGAAAATTACCTGGACTGTGTTGCCCATTCCCTGACCGGAGGTGTACACGTTGCGTTAGGTGCGAAACCGAAGGAAAGCCCTGCATGACTCTGCATATGGTGCAAATGTGGGAACGCCGGCTGAAGGACGAAGAAAGCGGATGGTGAAGATGAGAAAAGGAAGCGACTTTGGCGTCCTCTGTTGTTTTCGGGAACGCTGAGTCGCTGACCGTGACAGATTAGGACGTGGACGGTGATCTCCTATTCGCAATTGAGAGGATTAGGTCTCGGACAAACCGGACGGTGTTGTTTGGCTGGTGCTGAGTGCTGAGTGCTGACCAACGGAAATAACAGTATTTTCTAGGGTGTTCAAATGTGTGGTTACGGTGGTAATCATTTTAATGGTAGAATTTGGATAATTTGGTTTTGTTAATTTAGATAATTGGTTTGGTTTGGTTTGGTTAAATTTTTTAGTTTGTTTGGTTTGGTTTCAGGCACTCCTAACCAATCAAACCAAATTAACCAGTTAAGTAATTAGCTGTATATCTAATATATATATATGGTGCCCTCTACGATATCCCGGGTGAAATCCGGGTTACCACATACCTTGAATATGAAAACGCTATTATTTTGTATAGCCACTCAAAAGTCAAATGTAAGATAATTGTATTAGTTACGTATATTTAAGTTAAGGGTTAACTATAAGTTTGTGTTTGATTGTTATGTGTTATTCATTATATAAATTGTCAATTGATGCACCAATCGAAAATTTCTCACTTAATGATAATGTGATGGTATATTGGTTATTTTGGTTAACCAATTAACCAAACCGATTAAACTTTAGTTTGGTTAATTTGGTTGTTGTATTAGTTTGGACGGTTTGATTATGATATTGTATTCCATGGTTAATAAAATTTAGGTTTATTTGGTTTGGTAATTACCATGGTAACCATTTGAACACCCCTAATATTTCCACGATTAGATATAAAAAAATGGATTAATATGATGAATTATTGTATTTTCTAAAAAAATTCATTCTGCTATACTTTTTCCCCGATATTTATTGCCGATCTTTTTTATAACAATTGTTGTCGATCTTTATTAACTTATGTTTGGTTAAAAATCGAGTCTTTTCGAAAAAAAAATTCAATGCCACCCTACTTCCAGCCAATAATAGTACTACAATATTAATTCTACAACTATACTACATCCTGCAAAATTTACAGCTAACACCTAGTACATAACCAAGCTTTGAGAATATATAGAAGAACTTGCTAACAATTGACCAATCTCATGGTTGCCTGAGGAGTAGTAGCACACTTCTTGCTTAAGTTGTGTAAGCACTTCCTCACTACTCCTTCTGGATAACTCGATCCTAGGACAATTGGATTGCCATATCGTTCTGATAGAAAACTTTTCCAACAATTTCCCTTCCCATCTAACCTTGCTGCCATCCTCCATCAACCTTTATTGAAACCAAGGTCTAAGTCGAATAAATTTCCTCCATAACCAAAGCCCACTTGTGCCTCTGGTATCTCCCAAATCGATCTCCCTTTCAAACATGTCCTCTATTAAGTTCACATTCGAATTTCGTCAATCACGATATGATTGACATGAAAACAATACTAAGCCATTCATGATTATTGACGAAAATCATGTTCATAATCACTTATGGGGGAAAAGTATGAACACTTGGTGGGCAATTTTCCGAGGGTTGCGGCCTCTGTCCAATCCTTAAATACTGTTGTTTCTGTTTATTCATCTATGGATGATAGGCTTTTTTTTTGCGACATCCCATATGTCATGTTCTTTAAGGAGAGCAACGAGGAGGAAATTATATGTTTTGTAGAGATGCTTGCATCCATTTCTTCTTCATGGATCTCCTCAGGGATTGCTACCTTCGCCTCGCTGAAGAGAAGGACAACAAGTTCACGGTTATTTCGTTCCTTTTGGTTAGAGAAAGTTCTAGGGGGGACAAATGACTTCCCAATTGAAGATATCTGGAAGGTCGTAAGATTTGCATTTGTTTCGTTGATTGGCTTTCCATGGCGATATTGTCACTGTCGACAATTTGAAAAAGTGCCACATTGAATCGCTTAATAGATGTTCCCTCTATTGTGTTGAGAAGGAGTCCATCGACGATTTTCAATTCATAGTAGATTTAGTCATTATAAGTATGGCACAAGTTCGTTACAGTTTTGTATTTGTTAGGTCCTCTCCTCATAACTTTGTAATGTCCTTCATTAATATATGTATCAATTCAAACAATAAAGGCCAGAACAATTAGTAGGAAAACCTAATCCTAAACCTTGAAAATCCTAATACTAGACCCTAAAGTCTGGATGCCCAAAACCCTATTCCAACCTTGTTGCACCCTAGAGAGAGGGAGAGGAATTCCACTTATCCCTATGTACTTCCATACAAGATAATGTCTTGGCTAATTTTGATCGACTAGTTCATGATCTAACTGTTGTAGTGTCCTCTAGTAAGTGCAACAATGACTTGATCTTCTTACACCTATCCTTCTCGAATATTGTTATTGAGGAAAAGGCGTATTATAAATGTCAAATATTAACCTTCAAAAAATTCATTCTTTTGTAAGAAGGTCGATATATTGCTTAGATTTATATTATCATCAAGAGACAATAATAGACAAATGATATTTTTACATTCAAGGTTTTTGCTTAAGTCAATCCGATAGTTAAATTTGTTGATATTATATATTAACGGTAAAACCGAGTAGACGAATCCAATATCATGTTGGGGTCGTTACTAACACCAATGATTTTTCTATATCAGTTTATTCTCTTCTAAAATGATTCTTTCAACGTACTTTGGTATTAAGAAAAAAGTATCGAACATGATTCCGACAAAGGTAAAAGACCCACTCATTAATATAAATAAGTGAATAACGAAACTATCCAGCCAGTTAAAGTACCTTTTTCCTTTTCGATGAAATCTTCTAGATTAATTTATATTTGCATAGTCTAATAATATATATGAAATTATTTATGTTCCAAATGCTTCCCCTTTAACCCCGATTCATGTCAAAGTTCATTAATAGGTTTGAAAAGGAAACCACAATATGCATAAAATCTAAAACTTAATTAAACTTCTAAAATGATTTATGACAACTCAATTCATTCTCAAAAGTTAAGAAGTATATCATGATGTTACCTAAATATCAAATCACCTTTTTTGTTTGGATTTTAAAATGTTCAAAAAAAAAATTATGGTAGTACCAATGCCAATGGAAACTGTAACAATTTCTTAAGCTCTCGATTTACACAACAATTATACACTCACTCAAGTTAAAACGACATTGGAAATACATGGATTTGCTTTTTCCCCCCTCAAAATCAACCCCACCACGTATCTTAAAAAGAACGGTTGAACCATTAATACAAAAAACAACGGTAGAAAATCTCTGGTTACAACAAACCCACCCTTCTCCGTGAATTCTGTTCAAAATCGGGGGAGTTCCGTCTCCATGTTGGTTTCCAAATTCCACGTATAATCTACAGTCCAAAATACCAGCTTGGATAAAAAGGTTAATAAAAAAGAGAGTAAAAAAGGCCCATTGGTTAAAAAGCAGGCGGTGAGTGGTGTGAAAAGTAAAAAAAAAAAAAAAAAAAAAAAAATTACCACTTCCACAGTTCCACTTCGTAGTTTATTTCTCCTGCCCTCACTATATATAAAACGTAACAACCACACCAACAAAAAAAAAACCACAAAACAAAAATTGACCCCATAAAACCCTCGATCTCCCTCCCTCCTCCCCGTCTTTCATTCTCCCTTCACTCCCACCACCGCCGCCGTCGTCACTCTCCGCCGATTCCCTCCTTCTGTACGCCGTCGTGAATGGGAAAACATTCATCGGCAAACCACCCCCCGCGATTTTCCATATCCACCGATTAGTAACAAGAATACAAAGAGGAAGAAGAAGAAAAAAAAAAAAAACATAAGCCCCAAAACAAACGTACAAATCCTAGAAGAAAGGGGAAAAAAAAACCCAGAGAATTTCAGATCGAGCTAGCCGCCCCCAAACCAATGGCGCCGCCGGATGTGAGTGCCAATTTCGACACCGAGTCACAGTCCCACCCTCCGCCGCCGCCGCCGCACCACGTCTCCTCCTCCGTTTTCATGGACGCCAATCGCAACGTCACCCTCAAGGTAATAAAACTCAATTTTAACTCTTCACTCGCTCGCTCATTCAACAAGCCAAAAAGAAAACCCTTTTTTTCCCCACGTCTAACCCCTTTTTTTTCACCGTGTGGTAAAAAAAAAAATCAGTTCGAGGACGTGGTTTACAAGGTGAAACTACCAAATCCCGGATTCTCAAAATGCCACAAATCGTCGTCGTCGCCGGAATCGGATTCGGAAGTCGAGAAGGTGATCCTAAAAGGCGTCACGGGAATCGTCCACCCGGGCGAGATGCTAGCAATGCTGGGACCCTCGGGGAGCGGCAAAACGACGCTCCTCACCGCGTTGGGAGGCAAACTCGGCGGCGGAGGAGAAGGGAAACTCGACGGAGCCATAACCTACAACGGGAAGCCTTTCTCCAGCCGGATGAGACGGTCGATAGGGTTCGTGACGCAAGATGACGTCCTCTACCCTCACTTAACGGTGACGGAGACCCTCGTCTACACGGCGCTCCTCCGCCTCCCCAACTCGCTGACGAGGCGCGAAAAAGTCGGGCAGGCGGAGGCGGTGATCGGGCAGCTCGGGCTGGACAAGTGCAAGGACGGGATCATCGGCGGGGAGGACCTCCGGGGCGTCTCCGGCGGGGAGAGGAAGAGGGTGAGCATAGGGCAGGAGATGCTGGTGAACCCTAGCCTGTTGTTCCTCGACGAGCCGACGTCCGGGCTGGACTCGACGACGGCGCAGAGGATCGTGTCGACGGTGTGGGAGGTGGCGAGGGGCGGAGGGAGGACGGTGGTGATGACGATCCACCAGCCGTCGAGCAGGCTGTTCTACATGTTTGATAAGGTGATGTTGTTGTCGGAAGGTTGGCCGTTGTATTTTGGGCGAGGCGGGGACGTGATGGAGTATTTTGAGAAGGCTGGGTATGTCCCTCGGGTGCCCATGAATCCGTCAGATTTCCTCTTGGACCTCGCCAACGGTATGTGTTTTGCTCTATGTTTTTTTTTTTGTGTATGTGTTGTGCTTTGTTAGGGTGTAGGTTGAGCTAGAAAGTGATCATGATTGATTTGTGTTTGAGAGAGTACTTTAGGGTTTAAGATTACGATAGCGTAGTAACGTAAGGATGGTAGCTTCAAGATTGTTCGTAGTCATTATGAAGATAACGGGATTCGGATAGATATGCTTTTGTTGATGTCGCGTCTGCTGTGCGTTGTGCTTTTGTGGTAGATTAAGCAAAAAAGTAGTGATGATGATGATGATGGTGACGACGATCAATTTGTCTTATTAGATAGTTTTAGGGTTTTTAGACTCATCGACATATTTAAGTATCGTGCACAAACATAACGTATTAGAATGTCGGGTTCAGACTGTTCGTAGTTAGTACGACAGTATTGATCGATCTTATAAAGCGTATGCTGGTACTTTTCCGTTCTGTACGCGTATAATGGCCGAACACACGCGAGATCGAGATCGAGCGGGATTCCAAGAGCTAGGTTTTTTTTTTTATATCTTTGTATTTTTTGTTCCTTCTACCCAAAAGTACATGGATTTTTGGAAGCACCGATTTGGTGAGTGATTTTGGAGTTGGAAATTGGGGGGACCTCGGGGGCGGTGGCCGTGTTTAAGGCCGCAACGGGGGAGTCGGCCGTCAGTAGTATTCGAACACATGGTTCCCATGCAAGAGAGGGGGAAAAGAAAAACTCTGATAGCTGGCTTTCATTCAGCAGCACTAGCTTACTTCACTTTGGAAGTTCAGGAAGGGGAAAGTTACACCCAGAACCTGATCGAATTAATAGCTAGAGCTAGAGAATTGACAGACTCCTTTCTTTCCCTTATAAATGCATGTGCTTTGCGTAATGGGGATGAACGGATATGTTGCTTCCAAAAAAAAAAACGTTACACTTGGCACAGTTCCTTGTTACAGACATGTGTCCTCTTTACCCTTTTTTTTCTGTTACCTTTTGGCCATAATAACTCTTTCCCTAGCGTACGTCACCGCTGACGTGCTCTTACACTGAACTCCAATTTCTTTGTTGACTGATAATTAAGTGTAACGGGAGCTGTGCTAGCTTGTTAAATGTTAATTAATGAACGCTGCCTGCACGTTAATTAACATTAGCTAACTGGTTGGTTGAATTGACTCGGCAGGAGTGTCGTCGGGGGAGAACGAGGGCCAGGAAGACCCGGTCAAAGTCAAGGAGGCATTGGTTTCGGCCTACAAGGCTAATCTGGCCGAGAAGTTGAAATCGGAGCTGCAGGTTCATCAGGAAACAGGTGGGGCCGCCGGCGGCGGCGGGGAGATTGTTCAGGAGAGGGACAGAACAACGTCTCGCGGCGGGAAGAAGCAGCAGTATTCTGGGTGGCCGACGACTTGGTGGCAGCAGTTCACGATCTTGATCTCCAGGGGACTGAAAGAGAGGAAGTACGAGTCTTTCTCCGGGCTCAAGATTTTTCAGGTGCTCGCCGTCGCCATCCTCTGCGGCCTACTCTGGTGGCAGTCCAGTGCTGCCAATCTGCAGGATCAGGTAAAGCCCTGCCCTGCTCTGCACTGCTTCCCTTTGGTTGACAAAATCGCGGTATATTATGACGCATTGGTGACGTGCTTGGTTGCTGAGTATGAATTGATTTTATTGCGTCATTTGAATAAATTATGCATTTATAATGCTCTTGCTTGTTGAGTATGAATTGACTTTATTGCGTCATTTGAATAAATGACTATCATGTGAGTCGTTAATAACGAATTTGTTTGTTAGATATGAATTGACTTCGTTAATGAGGCATTTCAATTAAAATTCTCTGCATAAGAACCAAAAATGTCACTACATTTTGATGTTTGTGATCGAACTTGACGATGTAGCTTGTAAGCCCTGTTGTGCTTCCCTTGCATATCTGTTAGTGTTTTGTATAATGTTATTTTAGTCAATGCGTCGTTCTGCTGTATTATAATCGTTGACAAAATTTGTGGTATATATTATGATGCATTAGTAATTCACGTGCTGATTTGCTGAGTATGAATTGACATTATCACGTCATCTGAATATAATATGGCATGTGACACGTTCACAACGTGCTTTATTGCCGAGTATGGATTGACTTTATAAATTAATAAAGCATTTCAGTAAAAAATTCCGGCGTAAGAACCAAAAAATTGTGACATACAATTTCGATGTTTGTGATCAAACGTTTGTTATGGCGCAGATTGGGTTGCTCTTCTTCTACTCGGGCTTCTGGGGATTCTACCCGTTGTTCGAGGCCATCTTCACTTTCCCACAAGAACGGCGGATGCTAATGAAGGAACGTTCATCGGGGATGTACAAGCTCTCTTCCTACTTCATGTCAAGAATCGTCGGCGACCTTCCCATGTCGTTGGTGTTACCGACCGTCTTCGTCATCATAACGTACTTCATGGTGGGCTTCAAGCCCACCCCGGCCCACTTCTTCCACACCCTAGCCGTGCTCCTCTACAGCGTCCTGGTGGCCTCGGGCCTGGGCCTTGCCATCGGGGCCCTGGTAATGGACCAGAAGAACGCCACCATCATGGGCTCGATCATCATGCTCGCCTTCCTGCTCGCCAGCGGCTACTACGTGCAGCACGTGCCGCCGTTCATCGCGTGGATCAAGTACATCTCCATCGGTCAGCACACCTACAAGCTCCTCCTCGGGTCTCAGTTCGCCGACGACGACGTGTACCCTTGCGGCGACGGGAAGATGTGTCTGGTTGGGGATTATCCGGCGATAAAGAGTGTCGGGCTCGACGGGCAGGCGGTTTCGGCGGTGGCGCTGCTGGTGATGATTGTTGGGTACCGGCTTGTTGCGTATCTTGCTCTAATGAGGATTGGGGAAGTGAAGAAGTAGTAGTTAAGATGTGTTCTGTAGGAGAATGGAAATGACATTGTGTAACTTGGGTTTATGACTTATGTACTTGAGGTTTTCATTTTGGTGGCTTCTTTTTTCATGTTTTGTGTGTGGTGACTTTTTTCTTGTTGTAGTGAGTGAACGTTTTCTACCGGCTAAGAAGGAGGCGCCATGTATTTTTTATAGAAGTAGACTAGAAGCAAAATAGGGCATGACTTTTTTTTTTTTTTTTACAAAGGATTTACTTGTATTGCTCTTTAAAAGAAAAGTTACAAGGGAAGCCAAATAAAGAAGCCCAGAAAAGATCAAGGCAAGCCAAACATAAGCACACGGTTGTACAATCTGTGTTAAAGGAATACAAAACGAGAAGAACAGAACACAGAAAATATCAAACCAAAACATCAGCAACACTTGAATCAGATCCAGAAGACACCGAAAGCTCCCTTGCAAACAAACCAATCAAAGAGCACCAAGCATAATCAGCTCGTCCGATCCAACCGAGTCCATGACAATTGAATACAACGCCAAATGCCGCCTCCTGGGAGTCGCTCGAAGACGCTCAACACAGTGAATCTCTTGTGAGGGATTACATGGCGGTGGAAAGGGTAGAGGATCGAAATGCTCCGAGCTGAAAAAGCTGAGGAAGACAAGGCACCAAGAACTTGGTCAAGGGAGAAGAGGAACCCAAACTCCAAAATCCAAGGTCTGAAACCGCAGTCAGAAGGGCCAGACATCGCCTTCCTTCCACCGACGCCGACCAAGAGGCAAATGACTACCAACAGGGGGAACGGAGGGGAAAACAATGAATCGATTCACCATGCATGTTGTTGAACCCACCATCTAAAGAGGAGACCTCTAGATGCATAACCCAACTCCAAGGAGAGCAAATCCAGAAAGGAACCCTAGAACAGGGCAACGAAAGGCCATAAAGGCAGAAGAAGCTAAAAAGCTGGAAAATCCGATTGAAAAAGGCCAAACAGGTGGCAAGGAAGCATAAAAAAGCAAGGAAGATGAAAGAAAAATGGGCTACCGCCGGTCACCAAGAGGTGCCGGCGGCAACCCCTGCAAAAACCCAAGCAGAGGGGCTGGAGGAGAAGAGAGAAGACAGAGGAAAAATTTGAAAAAAAGTAAGAGAGAGAAGGGTGGATCTATCCCACTTAGGGCATGACATTAAAAAGCTTCTCTAAGGTTGTGTTTGATCCATGAAATTAAGGGATGGGAAGAGGGGAAATCCTTTTTTGGTGTAGGTATGCCGTGAACCAAATCAATTGAGACTTTTCGTTAAAGAATTTTACTGTTTTATGTCGAAGAGTTTAAATGTCTTTGAATTGAAGTCTTTTATTTTGTTGCTATTAAAAAATAGAATGAAATCAAAATGAGATCTTAATTTTGGATGCGATGTATGTTAAATGTCGATTTTCTCCTTAATTTGTTGTTAAGTCATCTTCATTCTCCATGATGTGTAAACCGTGGTGTATGGGTCGGGTGACTATAATGATCAAAATCCAAGATGATAGAGCCCAAGTTGTGAAAGGGACTTGAACCACGAGATAACTGTTGAAAATGAGCCTTCCTTAATTTATTTGACCAACATCTTATAGTAGTGTGATCTTCCAATAAATTGTTGTTCAATTATTGATTAAACTCGATTATACCATGTCTAACAAACAACTCTCGAGAAAGTCCCAAGCCATATCCAGCGCCAGCCACGGCCTCTGCAAGATCGCCACCTCATTACCATCACAATCTTGATCTCCTCTCCCTCTTCCCTCTCAAACAAACAATTCACCCTTCCAATTCTCATTCTCATTTCCCACCGGAAAGTAAGCAGAAAATGAAGACCACGGTGAAGGAAAGCTGCATAGTCCGACCGGCGGAAGACACACCCAAGCAGCGGCTATGGCTCTCCAACCTGGACCAATTGTTCGTGAACTTCCCTCACGTCTCCCTGTTGCACCCTTACAACCCCGACGGTTCCCACAATTTCTTCGATGCCAGAGTGATGAAGCAGTCCCTGGCCAAAACCCTCGTCGCCTTCTTCCCGGTCGCCGGGAGATTGGCCCAAGATGAAACCGGCAGGTTCGAAATCGATTGCAGTGGTCAAGGCGTCCTTTTTGCAGAAGCTGAAATTGACGCGTCCATGTCTGAACTCGGCGACTTCTCCTCGCCCCAATTGTTGAGGCAATTCTTCCCTGAAATTGACTACTCCAGAGGCGTTTCCTCCCTTCCCCTGCTTCTCATACAGGCAACGTAACTCTCCCGAATCTCGATGTTTTCTTCGATTAAGGCATAAAGGAAGGAAACCCACCAATTCTCTCACTAAGATTTAGGATTTTTTTCTTCTTTCTTCCTTTGATTCTGTTCTTCAATCAGGTGACAAGATTCCGATGCGGCGGAGTATGTCTAGGGATTGGGCTTCAACACGTCTTATGCGACGGCGAAGGGCTCTCTAATTTCATGACAGCATGGTCCAATCAAGCTCGCGATCTCCCCATTACCAGCCCACCTCTCCTCGATCGTACCTTTCTCAGATCTACATCATCTCAACCTCTGTTTCAGCACCCAGAGTATCAAGAATCCACCACCGATTCAACCCCAACTGCTATTACTTCCACCGAGATCCACAGCATACCCACCAGCCAAATCAAGCACCTCAGGGACATGACCCACAATCGGTACAGCAGCTACGAGGTCCTGGCGGCGCACATCTGGCGTTGCGCGACCGCCGCCCGGAGATTCGCCGACGAGAACCAGCCCATCACTCTCCACGTCAGCGTCGACGGCCGGAACAGATTCGATCCGCCGCTGCCGCGTGCCTACTTCGGCAACTGCGTGTTCCACGCCATGGCGGTGGCTTCCCCGGCGGAGTTGCTGTCGGAGTCGGTGGAGGGAACGGCCGAGAGAATCAGGAGGGCGATACGGAAGATCGATGGGTTGTACGTGAGATCGGCCATTGACTGGTTGGAGCGGCCCGGGGATGGGACGACGAGGGTCCAGATCCCGGGGACGGCTGGGTCGGCCCATCTGAAGGTGATCACTTGGGCCCGACTGTCGTTCCAGAAGGATTTTGGATGGGGCGGGCCCATTTTCACCCGGTCGATAAATCGGTCCGATGGGAAGTGTCACATACTGCCCAGAAGTGACGGTGACGACGAGAATGTTCAATTGTCTGTTTGCTTAGAGCCCGCTGCAATGGAGAGGTTTAGAGTATTGTTGACTAGTGTTAGTACCACTCCTATTTCCGCATTATAATATTTTTTTTAGTAATAAAAAATAACTACATGTGGCAAATGGATTGATCCATTGATTGGTGGATTCATGGATTGTATCAAGTGGATTGGTGGATTATCCATGAATCCAAATGACATCCTCAATCATTGACCAATATGTAAAAATGTGAAAAGTTTAGGTACTAAAATGTCATATTAAAAAATTTTAGGTACCAAAACGTAATTTTCCAATGATATTTTCGTATAAAAAAAATAAATTTTGGGTACCAAAATGTAAAATACAACAAGTATAAGTTTCCAACTGTAATTTGCCATTTGAATCCATGGATCAATCCATGAATCCACCAATCCAATTGGATTTGGATTTAAATGGATTGGATTAGGTGGATATTTTTAATGGGTTGGTGGATTGGATTGAGAATTGTCACCTCTAGAAATAACCAAAATTGAAAGAACAACTAAAGTATCAATTCAAATCATCGTAGGAAATATCTCTTAACAAATCGTAAGTGATCAGCATTAGTCTCAAGCCTACTAATAAAAGTACATAAGTGAAGGAGTTCAATTGGAGGCTTCTGCAATCAGCTTCCTTGCTGACGATGACATCTCGAGCAGCAGCTTTCTCCCGACAGGTGGTCCAATTGCTCCCGCCTCCTTGCTGAATTGAACTGGATATCGACTCAAATTAGCAATAGGTTTAGAATTTATCGGTTAATCGCTATAAAAAATCATTTAGAAAGTCAGTGATTTACAATTTGTAAACTATATTAAACTCGATGCCTTTGCTAAGTCCTGAGCTACCAAAATAACACCGTCGAATGAGAAGAATCTCAGAATGATGTCAACAATCGGTACAAAATCAGTAAATTTCTTAGACATTATCGTCCTCCAGCTGCATTATTGCAGGATCGTTTTACAGTTATAAAAGTTACACCTTTCCTTACAAAAGCCCATAATTAAGTTGCACGAAACCTTTTTTTTAAAATTGTTTGATACTTGGATTTGAAACTGGAATGATGTATTTCTTACTACTTTAGAATCTGTAAAGCTTGCACACATTGATAGTCATTGCCTTCTCTTCTATTTAAGGCTGTTTAACCCCCACGTTGATCAATATTCAATACCCAACTTAATCCCACGGTTTGATAACCATTGCCTTTCTCAAACAAACCATCATCAATCATCATTGCACAAAAGTTGATGAAAAACTTTGCAGAGCCTTCAGTGATCATGGCGCCAGCCCTTTCGGGAATCAATTTCCACCAATTTGCGCCTTTAAAAGCTTGAAAGCTAACAGCTTAAACATCCATCGCTCCATTCCCCTGTCCAATACCACTACCCCTTCGGAAGAGCGATCGATCGAACAAAAAAGATGAATGTCACCGTGAAGGAAACTTGGATTGTCCGGCCGGCCGGCGAAACACCCAACCGGCGGTTCTGGCTATCCAACATGGACCAGATGTACGTCAAAATTGGTCACATTCCCTTTCTGCTCCCTTACAAGCACGACGGATCATCCAATTTCTTCGATGTCGGAGTGATGAAGGATTCCCTGGCCAAGACCCTCTCCACCTTCTTCCCCGTCGCCGGCAGATTGGCCCAGGATGAAACGGGGAGATACGAAATCGATTGCAGCGGCCAAGGCGTCTTTTTTGCGGAAGCTGAAATTGATGCTGCCATTTCCGACTTCGGCGATTTCCAGCCTACTATGCAGTTGAGGCAGTTCTTCCTTGAAGCTGACTACTCCCTGGGGATTTCCTCCTTCCCCCTGCTTCTCATCCAGGTAACTAAGTAAGTAGCTAGTTGGAAGCATTATTACGATTTTGTTCGTTTTGGGTTAATTAGTACGATTATTGTCCGCTTTGAAGTTTGAATCGAATTCAGACAAATTTACTTTTTGAATCCTTACCAAAAGACCTCGCATTAATAAATTTGGTGAAAACTAATTATATAATGCTCCATTTTTCGTTGTATTTACATTGTGTTACTTGTATTGTCCGGTAACATACATAATTGATTGCTCTGTTTCAGGTGACAAGATTCCGATGCGGCGGAGTTTGTCTAGGGGTCGCCGGCCACCACACCTTATCCGACGGTGGAGGGCTGGGTACTTTCGTCATCACATGGTGCAACCTAGCTCGCGGCTTCCCCGCCGATAAAAACCCGACGCCGTTCCTAGACCGGACGATCCTCCGATCAAGAACCCCACCTTCTCCCCTGTTCCAGCATACAGGGTACGAATCCTCCCCTGCAGCTCTGCCTCCTCTGTTCCTGACTCCGACCGAGATCCTCGACATACGGATTCAACAAATCAAGCAATTGAAGGGCAAGGCCATCAGCTACAGCACCTACGAGGTCATGGCTGCACACATTTGGCGGTGCGTCACCGTAGCCCGGCGACTCGCCGACCAGAGAAAACCCATCACTCTGCACATCAGCGTCGACGGCCGGCAGCGGTTCAACCCGCCTCTGCCACCGGGGTACTTCGGCAACTGCGTGTTCCACGCCAAGGCGGTGGCGTCGCCGGCGGAATTGGCTTCGGAATCGCTGGAGAAAACGGCGGAGAGGATCCGGCGAGCGATAGGGAGGATTGACGACGGTTACATGAGATCGGTGATTGACTATTTGGACCGGCCGGGGGACGAAACATCGAAGTTTCGGATCCCCGGGAATACCGGGTCGCCCGACCTGAAGATCATAAGCTGGACCCGGATGTCGTTTTTGCCGAAGGATTTCGGGTGGGGCGACCCGATGTTTACCCGGTCGGCGAACCCGTGGGAAGGGAAGTGCCACATTCTGCCGAGATCCGGCGACGACGACGAGAATGTCCCGTTGGCCGTGTGTTTGGAGCCTGACGCGATGGAGAGGTTTAAGGGATTGTTTACTAGCTTTACTTTGCCGCCACAATGGAGACTTTCACCGTTGTAGACCTGTAGTGAATAAATCTTTGCGATTTGGATGTGTGACTCTTTGCTTTTCTGTTCTGAACTTCTGATCAATAATCGCCCATTTGGATGTACGTTTTCGGCTTAATTTTTTTTTTTTTAACTTGTTTCTCTCGATTTCGTGTTATTATGTAATATGTATTTATGAGAATATTGTTTGATCGTTAATAATTGTTACTTTTTTTATTAAATTGATCCTCGTTTTGTATATTGCTTATATTTAAAATTGGATGTGTTGTTATCCTAAAAATTATATTAATTAAGTTATGAAGAATTTAAGATTTTGCAATTTGCATGCCTCTCTACAAGCCTCCACGTCAGCCCAAGATTTTATACTACTTGACCATGACTAAGGGAAATGAGGAGGTTAGGCTTTCATTTAGCAAATGAATTATACCGATTATGTAGATAAAAAGCTGGCCGGATTTGAAGGAAGGGCCGGCCTGGCTTTGCTGTTTAAGTTTTGTCTAAAGACTAAAGGGCTAATTTTGATGGGCTGATAGACTTGAACATTTAAAGCCCAATCATGGATTGTGATAAAACCTGCAGCCCAGTGTCTTCAATTTCCTCTTCTAGGTTCTAGCTTGTTCTTCATTTCCAGCGATGAGGTTTTAGGGTTTTCTGTTGTATACAAGAGCCGTGCTTCCTCATCGAGAAGCTAAGACGACGTCGGATTAGCCAAAGTGGTGTGTTCTTCACAAAGAGCAACACACAGCGCTTCTGCACCATACTACGTCGTCTCAAGGAGATCGTCCATCAAAGTCTTCCATCGAGGATCTTCTCCTCAGATCCTCGACATTCTTCCTCGACAACCTCTTCGACCCTTCATCTGCTCGACAGTCTCCTCGTGCTCCATCAAGGGCGATGCCTCAAGCCTACCTCAAGATCATGATGACCTGAAGATGACCGTTCTGATCAAATCCTCTCGCAAGAAGCCAACAGGTCCTTACAACGGTCATTAAGCCCTCTCACCTATAAATTATAGGGTTTGTAATTCAATTGTGACTTGGCAGTCTGTATTAGAAGAATAGAGAGGTGTCTTCTGTTACTTTGGGTCCTGTTCTTACTTCGGTAGAACAAATCACAGTGTTTGAGTACTGGGTGATTTGTTCTTGGAAGTCTGTTTGAGTGTTTTAGTTTCTCCAAAGAGCCAATTCGTTGGCTTGGCTCTTGTTCGAAATTCTGTTGTGTGTCTTCTTTGAAAAATAAATAAAATTGTCTTTTTCTTAGATGTTCAGTTGAGAGTGTTGGCCATTCTAAATTCACATTTTCAACTTTTCATTCTTTCCAAATTAGGAATCAATTCTAGAGGAATCAACTTTTCAAGTTGTAAAGTTGTACTATAACATAATGATACAAATTTCTTCATGGTACAACCTAAACTTATACATTTAATGTTATGGTACAACTTCAAGTTGTACATTAAAGCACCAATACTATATAACATAGTAGAAGTGCTCCCAATTCTAATGTAATCGTAACGTGTATAACCGTTGGATTTGGAAATAAGAATGGAATATGTAGAAAATATTAGATTTAAAACTACTTCTTAATTTGGTTATTGACAGGTTTTCTTTTTTCGTAAGGAATTGTAGTATATCTAAACTCTATGTGGATTCTATAATTAAGTGAGAAAGTAAATAATGAAAGTTCATTTTTGAGGATGATTAACATGTACGCATGAAATTACTAATGTCTGGAGAAGTCTGTTACAATGAATTGCAAATTTTCCATCATCTAAAAATTTCAAGTATGTACAACAAGTTGTAATTCTTATAACATACTCGATCACGATTTGGACCGAGGGAGAAAGCAAAATCAAAATACAGGCTCTTCAAATACAAATTTGTCGATCTTGATCATTTCTGCAATTCACCTTTTGATATATATATATAGTTTTTCAAATGTTACCACTCATTGACAGTATCAGCACCATATAATCATAATAATGCTTTCGCGTGCATATGCAAATAAAACTCTTGACAAATTAGACAACTGAGAGAAGTTAAGTGTATATTAAAACTATGATATGGTCACAATACACTTTTTGCCCTTTTCCAATCATGAATGAACTTTAGTTCATTTCTATAAATTATAAAATGGTACAACACTTAATAGGATTGGACGGATAATTAATGAAGTGGGAATTAATGTTGAATTCAATAGTTCTAACCGGCGACCAACAGGATGTGGGTAAACACTTGAAAGACTGAGTAGTGAGTACCAACTACCAAAGGGTTATAGGTATAATATATTAATATGCCCCTATACTATGACGTTTTATCAAACATGCCCATTTACTATTTTTTACGTCAAACATGTCCTTGTACTTTGTAAAAATGATCAAACATGCCATTTTGTTAAAATTTTCATCTAAAAAGCGTTAACCAAGGCCGAACTTTAGTTTGGCCGACACAGATAACTAAAATATCTCTAATAAATTCACTGTAGATTTTTTTTTGGTTATTTTGTATAATCAAATCATTCAAATAATTTCACTTTGAAAAGACCCAGAGAAATAAAAACAGGGGACAAAACTGACATTTTCCCTCCAATTTGTCGATCTCGGGTCGTCTAAATCCCAATTCAACCATGATTGACGATTTTTTCAATCGAAATTTTAACAGAATGACATTTTTGATAATTTTTCCAAAGTACAGGGGTATATTTGATGTAAAAAATAGTAGAGGGGCATGTTTGATAAAACGTCATAGTAGAAGGGCATATTATACCTATAACCCACTACCAAATGACGAACAACTTGATGATTGCATAAATTTTTGCGAGGGGAACGTTTAAGCTAAAATTAATGCCAATCAAGGAGCACTTAATTTAATTAATTCTATGTAGGGTCATATTTGGTCATCATTCAACTACGACGGAGATAAACAATCATTCATCACACCACAACAAGAAAGCCCTACGAACTGCTAGCAGTTTGATTCATGCAGAATACGAATCATAAGTCCAGAGCCCGTAGTTTAACCTGAAAAAGACTCTATACCATTGACGGGGAAAATGAAGCGAGACAAAGATGAAACGACACTCGTATTTATATCAACACTATCAGTATTATCGTAAAAATGATAAGATAATATACGGGACCCCATATCCTTGACCACCCGATCGGCTCCGCAAGCCGGCAAATGCTGCGACGAAGACGTTAATGGCCAAAATCGTAATAATGGAGGAGCAAGGTTGTTAACCCGGTTCAGCTCGTTGGTCTTGTCGAATAAGTGAGTTGACCATTAATGGCCCGATCGTTTTACCTGATTTATAGCTCAGATATATGGGAAAAAAGTCCTTATATTGTTCATACATTTACAATTATAGTGAAAATTCGGGTAAATGATGTCACGTTTGGTCACCGAGATTACTAGATCGTGTCATTTTTAGTAACTTAGAAAAATTCAATATCAATTTCTGTCTCTCGGATTACTAGAACGGAAGAGTGACTAAATGTGACATGTTTTAGTAATTCGAGTGACTAAATTTTGTGACATGTTTCAGTAATTCGAGTGACTGGAGTTGGACGGAGGCTAACGGGAGAGCGAATAAAGGTGGTCTTGTTTCAGTAATTCGAGTAACCAAAAATTGATATTATATCTTTCGAGTGACTAAACATGACACGATTTAGTAATCTCAGTGACCGAATGTGGCATTTACCCTGAAAATTCATACACTTGTATAATATCAATATTCGAATGTTCAAACATATATGGAATTTCATAAAATAGGGCTAGACAAAGAGTAAAACTGGGAAAACATACGTATTTTGCAAGCAAAAAAAATAAAAATAAGAATACGACCCCGTGTCATCTCCAACCTAGTAACCTTGGTGCTGCGGATCAATCATCGAATATTTATAACCCGGTTCGCTCATTGAGTCAGAACATGATTGTCACGCCGGCCGCGCGTGCCACTGGTTCAACCTGTACCGGTCATAAAACTGGCATGATCGATATACAAATCTCCAAATAAATTGATCTTATCTTAGTGAATTTAATTGATAAAAAGTAATTTATTATTTATTTTATGTGTTAAAAAGTTAAATGTTGATGTTATCTGTTGGATTCAAGTACAAATATTTAGGTATTGACGTCAAATGTTGTGTTTAAATATGAGAATTTATAAATTTATTTATAATATTAACTGGCATGAACCGACACCAGCTGATATGTACCACCGGTTGAACCATTCCACTTGCTAAACCACCGGTACACTGGCATCAACCGGTTTGACAACCTTGAGTCAGAATCAAAGCACCAGTCGACCCGTGGGCTGACAACCATGTGGATTGTGGATGGTGGAGGAGTCTATTCCAAGAGTGACGGAAGATACGACGTCACGGAGCAATTGAGAGAGGCCAGCCAGGCATGGCATGTCGATCTCTCTCTCTCTCTATCTCTATCTCAAAAACAAAGTGGGGGCTACCATAGTCTGAAAAAAATGGTTCGTCTAATTCGTCTTCACATGTCACGGACAGAGTCTTTATATGTTGGCCCATCTCAACTTGGCCTACAGAGAGAGCTTTCACTTCACTTTGCTCACTCACTTATCTCCACCGTCTCATTGAGAGGTAAAAGCAAGCAAAGATTATAGCCTTCGCCAATGGAGAACGGGCACCACAGCACGTCCGATGAGGAGCGGCCGCTGCCGCTGCCGCCGCGGTCGTCGCCGGAGTCCGATGAAGGCACGAAGAAGAGAAAGCTCGGAGGCATTAAAACAATGCCCTTCATATTAGGTAAGTAGTTAGCTTCTTACTACTTCCGTACGTGTGTGTGTGTTTTCCGACGAGAAAAACTTCTTGTGTTTGAATGGAGATTAATTGGTACAACAAATTAATTAATGTGGTCGCCCCCGCCGGTCGGACGGCTGCCGATCGTCACCGTCGAGCGAGCTGGCTATAGCTAGCTACGTTCCAAACAAATTAATAGCTAATATCCAGCTGTTATAGTATACATGGGACTAATCGCATGCATA